TTTTTTGTGTGTTGACTTTGATGTTTGGCTTGAAAGTTACCATTTTGCTTTATTGGATTTTCTGTGTGGATAAAGGCGTGTGCTAGTCGATGGATCATGGGTGCTTTCTTAAATATTAGTATATATTTAGAAGAAACATAGTGTGGTGGCTCTAGGTTGTGGAAGTAAACTTGTTGTATAGTGGAATTTCCTAGTTTCTTGTTAGGTTATTGTGATTTTGTGTTTATTTGATAGATATTTATTTGGGGGAAGAAGTTTCATCACAAAATGTGCTTTTGGCATAATTCTGAGTTTCCAAGGCTTTTCTGCTACTGTAGCTGAGTTTTCTTTTTGTTTTAGTGGGTGTCTAGGTTCTATTTTAAGTCTTGCATGTTTTTGTGTATATTGTGCTTGAAGTTTGTGTGGAGATCTCTAAGACATATTTAAGCTCTTGGTAGTTTATTTATGAAAGATCAGAGAGGAGTTATCATTATCAGCACTTAACAATAACATGCATTTAAGTGTATTTATGATTCTTCAACAGAAATGATCATGTTCCATGTATTGCTTTTGCATTCTAAATTCCTCCTGTTTCTTTTTGTTTGATAGCCTTTTGCTCTCTTGACCTGCTTCCTGACTTGAGATGTCAAATGTTATTCTCTTCTAGTGTCTGATGTTAATTGGTGCTGATTGATAGTCATAATTTGGGTTGATAGACTTATGACCATGTTTGAATTTTGTCTATTCTTAACTGACTGGTTCTTTTACGAATTGGAATTGCAGATTAATCTAATTCTTTTGCGAATTTGAATTGCAGATTTGTCTAAGTTAAAAACTGGGGACAGGCAGTGGTTCTTCTTTAGTCCCAGAGATCGAAAATATCCCAATGGAGCACGGTCAAACAGGGCATCAAAGCATGGGTATTGGAAAGCTACTGGAAAAGATCGTATTATTACATGCAACTCTCGTGCTGTTGGAGTCAAGAAGACGCTGGTCTTTTATAAAGGGCGAGCGCCAGTAGGTGAACGGACAGATTGGGTGATGCATGAGTACACCATGGATGAAGAAGAGCTGAAGAGATGCCAGAATGCACAGGACTACTATGCACTTTACAAGGTCTTCAAGAAGAGTGGGCCTGGCCCCAAGAATGGTGAGCAATATGGTGCACCTTTTAGAGAAGAGGACTGGGTTGATGATGAGTGCCTAAATGCCAAAGTCTCTGTACAGCCGGATAGCCCGAGACATCAGGAGAATTCTGCAAAGAACATTAATGTAGTTCCTGCTCCTGATGATGCAATTGAGGAATTGCTGAGGCGTCCTTTTACTGTAGATAACAATTTTGCATTGGAGCAGTTTGTTCAAGAGGAAGATACTGAAAGTACCTTGCTAAATCAGTCTTCGAGGGAAGTTAATTTATACAATCATTGTGCTGTTGCTGGCCCAAGCTGCCAGCAGTATAATGCGAGGGCAAGCTTTGACCTGACAGAGTCAGGCACATCACCATTACATTTGCACGAGGCACCAGAGGTCTCATCTGCTCCGGTGAATCCTGAAAAGCCCCCATACGTGGTGGAAGAGGATTTCTTGGAAGATTTCTTGGAGATGGATGACCTCCTTGTTGCCGAACCAAATGTTCAAAACTTTGATCATGAAACACCAAATGGTCAAGTCTTTGACCAACCTGCTGGAGACCTGGAGACTCTGCAGTTTGATGACTTTGATGGCTTATCAGAGTTCGACCTGTATCATGATGCACCTTCACGTCTTGATAATGTGGGGACACCAACAGTGGGGCAAATTGCTGAACCATACATGAACAACTTTGTGAACGGGATTACATACCCTGATTCCACTACATACATGAGCACTTTCCAGAATGACATGATGAACAACCAGCAGATGCACTTGAATCATGAAAATCAGATAAACAATCAATTCTGGATGCATGATGAAAGATTCGACGTCTTCAACCCCATTGAAGGAGATCAATCAATTGTTGATCAAGCATCTTCAGGTATTCAAAGAATTCCATATAGCAATGCTGCTAGTTTTGCTTGGCTAATGCCATAATATTATCATACTTCTCAGATTTGTATAAACACATTGTTCTATGTTGTCTGACTTGGTGGAGCTCTTGAACAGATGGATGGTATTGAATAACCATGTCATCTTCAGTATGGCAAGAACTCTTTTGCCCAAGTGGAAATGGGGGAGTTTGAGCCAAGCTTCAAGAGCTCTTCTGCTGTTAATATTGGTGTTAGATTTTATTTCTAACTTTAGCAAGTTTTGGCAATGTTTAGGTGTGGTAAATGATAATAATATGGCAAATTATCCTATTGGCGCTAATCAAAGTCTAGCCAAAAAGGATGATGGTACGCAGTCGTGGTTCTCCTCTAATTTGTGGGCTTTCGTGGATTCTATACCCACAACTCCTGCTTCAGCTGCTGAAAGTGCTCTTGTAGTTAACAGGGCCTTTGAGCGTATGTCTAGCTTTAGTAGAATGAAATTAAATGTCGGGAACATGAATGTTGCTGCAGGTAATACCTCTGCAACTTCAAGTAGTTCTGGCAAAGCCAAATATGGATTATGTTGTATTTCTTTACTTGGAGTACTTTGTGCATTCTTATGGGTGCTAATAGGAACTTCTGCTAAAATCGTGGGGACATAGATATCCTCATAAACATGTGTAGAGTTTTCTTTTGCTATTTATCATCTGGCTTCTTGCCAGAATCAATGGAAAGCTGAGCATATATCTTACAAATAATTGGAGATCATACTTGATGTATGATTTATCTCAATTCTCCTCCCCTTACGCTCCCTTCAGCCCTGGCCCTAGACCAAAGAAACTCCTGAAACAAAGACGTCAAAATATTAAGATAACTATGCATAATAAGTGGTGCGACGCATCATAAAAATTGACATACATCTCCAGTTTATCTTTGTTTATTATGGTTTTAACTCATGATTCCTCGTAAAATAGACTCTAGTATTATTTGGTGCTCATCTATTTTGGTTAGAATATCTCATGATCGAGCTACTGTCTCGTGGAAGAAATTGATTTTTTTGTTTATCATTGATGTTTACTTGTTCTGATATTATATGTAAAAGCTTATATTCGTGGTAAATACACGCCTTTCCACTTTATAAACTTGCTTGGGTAGATTCCCCTGGTTTAGCAGGCTCATATTACCCATCCCGTGCTTCTATCCTTTTTCCTTTTTGCTCCTTAGTGATTCGAAACCTACAACTTTAGGGATCCTCACCATCTGAGCTTCTCCCTCTTGTTGAGGGAGAGATTTACATATTGCAGACACAGCAGTGGCGGAGCTACTTGGTTCTTAGGGTGTCCAAATTGGACACTCTTAGTCGGAAAAAGGTATCATATATAGAAGTAAAATGATATGCGGAGCGATTAAATAACATACTTTGACCACTCTTAACCTAATAAGTTGCTATAGCCTAGTGGTTTTAGACTACCTCAAATGAGGTAGCGCTTGCATGTTTGAATCTTACTAGTTGTTATGCAATTTCTGGACATCCTTCGTAAAATTCCTGGCTTTGCCATGGAGGCATAGATTACATTTGGTTGGGTCAATGGACTTCATATCGCATTGCCCGAATTGTTTAGTTGTAGTTGGAATATTTGAGTCGCTGGGGTTGGGGGCATCAAAGAATATGCAATGATTCTCCATCTTTATGTCTACGAAAATGTCTTAAAAGACGAATAAATTGCAGATGATTATGTAGTACGTCCCCCGATTTTAATTTGTTTGTATTACTTTTCTTTGCAGTCTATTTAAAAAAGAATCCATCTTTTCTTTTTAAGTCATTCTTTAATTTCAACTTTTCACACAACATGTTTAAGATCACAAAATTAAATAATTTTTTGGTATATGTGATATATTTTTTATTTAAGACTACAAGATCCATTTTTTTTTTTAAATTAAATTTTGTGCCAAGTCAAAATAGACAAACAAAACAAATTGAAACGGAGGGAGTAACCATTTATTGATGTAAGTTGTATGACCATAACATGGCTAATAAGTTGCCGACCTTCAAACTACATTACTCTTTTATGTAATTTCTAGTTTCTCAAAGACATAATTGGACTGAGCAAATATAAATTTGATTTTTGACCTGTTTTTAATTTAAAAAAATTTGGAAAGCTCAATTTCTTATGGTAAATTTTCTTGAATTAAGACTAGTACGACAAAATCCAAGAGTGTAGTCAGAAATTTGTGTTTCATGTTACATTGTATGCTTAATGTAGATTTCCCTGGTGATGGACGAAATTGGCCTGTTGAGCATTAGACAAATATGTGATCGCGTTTGCCAATGCAATTGACGTTGGATCTACTCCGTTTATATCCTGGAAATAAAAAAGTTCTTTCAAGTCGAGGGTCTATTGGAAATAACTATCTATCCTGCAAAGATAGAGTAAGGTCTGTTTACGTTCTATCTTTCTTAGACTCCACGGGTGGGATCATAATGTGTGTGTCGTTGTGAATAAACTAAAAAGAAAGACAACTACCATTTCTGTCCACTTAAACGCTACTCCTAATTTTCTCCGTGTATGGTGTTTTCATCAAATATCTAGTAACAGAAGTCCGGCCAACGCCATCGGCCTCAATGTATGCATCATCAAGCAAATAATCAGCTAGTCCAACGCTATATTCCTTGGGGAAGGTGGTCTCTTCCCTTACCCAGCCAGGCAAATGGCGCATTTCAGCTAGTTCAACCAACACCTTTATGTTGTAAAAATTTGAATAAAAAGAAGAATTTCTATTAGAAAGACTTGCATTGAGTAACCAACATTCTATGCTCATTCACGGTTTTTTACATTAAATGGTGTAGCAAATTTTGTACACTTGACTTTAAATGGTACAAGAATTTTTTTAGTAGTGTATTGTAATAGGAGAATTACAACATTTTGCTTCATATATACTATATTTTGTACTACCTATGTATTTTTAGACTTGTACATTTCTTGCAACTGCATAGTTTTAGGAACTGATCTTCTCCGCCTTTTAAGATAAAATCAACCAAGATCTCTTCATTTAGGATTGGCAAGCTTGATTAGATAATTGCAAAACCCCACAAACCAAAAAGTTCTTTGAGGAGGACCAATATAGAATATCTTGCTTTTTCCATGGTAAGCTGAGATATTTCACAAGAATACCCTCTTTAACGTCCTTGCAGCGACTCGGGAAGCCAGCTTTCCAGCGAAATCAGCAGGCAAGCGAAGTAACTGTTGTTGCATCTCTTGTGGAAGCTGCAAAATATAAAGCGCATCTATTTTAGTTATATAGAAGTGCGTCTCAATGCTTGTTTAAGGCAGTAATGAGAAGACAAAGTTGAAAATATAAGCCATCAAAATGGAATAATCACCCTTATAGAGTTTCTCTTTACGCATCTTCTCTCTGAGAGGAATCATACACTCAAATAGACTTGTACAGCTTCCTTAAGTAACAGGTGGGAAAATAATGTTTTAGTGCAAGGGAGGTAAAAAAGGGGGTGTGCTGTGTGCGCAATTTTCTGATCATCAGGCATACTTATGCAGTTAAGCCCATATGACATCTTTTTAGCAATAAACACCATCCAAAAGACTGGATTCAAATTCTCACGTTGTCTGTTATCATACAGATGCGACCAGTTATAAAATTGGGGAGATAATAAATCTCTTGAGCTTTACCTCAGGTAGAACTGAAAGGAGGGGTAGATATTCTTGGACAGCTTCAAATTGCTGAAGGGCTACAGGTGCTCCATTCAAAGATATCATCTGCTTGTTGGATGTTCTAACTCCATTAACCTTCTAGAAAGAATAAATTAAGAGTCCACAATTTACTAACATATCAAGTAATTGTGCAATAACAACAAACATCAATTTGGCAATGAATTAATGATCAATAATGGGGTATCCATAGTTAAACCAAGTATTACAGATGCACAGGAATTATAGATAACATAACAATTCAGTAACTGGGAGATTATCCATTTACAGAATAAGTAACTAGCCTAGAAGCTTGGAGACCAGAATTGGTGATAATTTTTTTTTTGATGACAAGGGAAACCTGCAGCCGCTATCCTTTGGGTGCGCACAGGGAAAAACCTCGTCCTATGCAATAGCTCGCAAACCACATAGGAGAGATAACCCACACTAGGCAAGCCCCGTACAACAAGCTCGACCCAGAAGGCAAACCCCTTCCTTTCGCTGTCAAGGGGTTTCGAACTTGAGACCTCCAACATGGAAGTCCCAAGCCCAAACCACTGGGCCACCCCGAAGGGTATTGGTGATAATGTGAAGTGGAATTCTCAGCTGGCAAGGAAATCTGTCCATATATATTCTAGCATGCATCAAGAAATAAATATGATTTTCAGCAGCTAAGACGCAAAGAGTGTTGTCATAATACTAAGCAAGGCAAGCAATTGGTATTTAAGGGGCCGCATAAATATATGCAAAGAAATTATGGCATTCTGAAAGACATGGAAGATATGTGATAACAAGCTAATGTAATAAGATACTGGATTCTAATTATTAAACTGATGCTTTCTCTGGTGTCTCTAAGCTCCAATATCTTAGTTGTTCATGTATCTGAATGTTTTTTCTTCGAGAATACATGCATGTTATGGGAGTAAACTGTGGATAGTCTCTCTCTAATATCAGAAGTGGAAAACAGTGTAAACATTAACGTGCATGCAAATCCGTATCAACACTTTCTACAGATATTTTTCCATAACGGAGGAGCAATTAACATCATGGAGGTTTTATATACATTCATTTTTATTAGCAAGATTCTCTTACCATGCTGGGGTTCTCGTTTTCTTGTAGTCCTGATATCAACAGTAATAGACGTTGCAAATTTCTAAGATTAGTAATATCTTCATCAGTCATTGAAGATGGTCTGGAGGGAGAGAACGGCAACGAAGTTGCAACTGCATTTGTTACTGAATCGAGAGTTGCAACACCAAGTGCAACCATACCCTGTAAATTGGGATAAAGAGTAAATTCCAAATACAACCAGCAGATGACTTGAATGACAGTGACCCTACTTTTGGAAATTTTGGATACACCAGCGGGAACTCAAAACACGGAAAAGGAAGTACGTTAGTCACTTCTCAAAACATCAAAAGTGAAGTGGCAATTAACCAATTTGAGTTTTTTAGATTACTCGCATTAGCATCTGTGGAGATACCACTTCAAACTGCTGAAGGCATGCTCTAACATCAAAAGCACTTATTTCTGGAACTACACATGATATTTTTAGTTTCCATGTCATATTCACTAGTTAAGCAGTTTCTAACTTTCTAAAAGATATTGGGTCTTGCATTATCAGATGCATTTCCATCCACAAATCACCATCATGATAGCAAAACCTCTCTTCACCTTTCCGTTTTCTATTTTTGTCTACGTACTTCTCCTGGAACTATATTTCTTTTTTTGTAAAAGAAAAAAATGAGAACTCCCAATTGTCAATTATATCTGAATTAGAAACACCAACCAGATATGAGTGCTACTAATTTAAACCAGTTAGTCTTCATGATAATCCACTGACTTCAAAAAAAATTGACTGAAACATTATGAAACTGAAACTTCCTAAAGAGTTGAGCAATTATTGTATTCATCACCAGTTTGAATTTAGTAAAAAGAAGGTGCTGAGCATTCGTAATAAGTTTGCTTGCATTCTTGTAATATTAAAACACGAGTCCGTACCTTTGAAAATTCTTCAAGTAAAATTTCTCTGACAAAGGCACCCTGAAGATAAACAAATGAATTAATAAGTAGTGTGTGTATTTTTTTCTTTCTTTCCTTCCTTTTTTCCTGGATGTATTCCAGCCTCTAGTCTGTTTAATAGTGCAATATTTTCTAAGATAGAATACCTTATCATCCAGTGTAAAAGAAAGAATTTGCTTGATAACGACCTTCGAATCAGTCCCGCCATTTTGATTCTCTATCAGGGTTCTTTCTGTCTTGGCACGGAGAGACTGTTATGAAGAGAGATTCAGGATCTATGCTTGTATATCAGAAACAAAAAGCTAATATGGTGAAACAATTTTCTCATATATAACTCAAATATCAAGAAAAACAAGAATTCAGCTGTGGCTTCTTTCACTCTGTAACTGTCAGGTGTATGTTTACAAAATACAAAAGCGATGTGTACAAACATATCAAAAGGCTTACCTCTGATAAGAGAGACTCTAGTCGATCAATCCTGAACTGACCATCCTATAATCAAAAGTATGGAGTTATAGTTTACCATGAGTACATAAACTGTTGGACTTGAAATTATCAATTTTTAAGTAGAATAGCATCGGCAACCAGTAAAACTTCTGTATACTGTCTCAGGCTTCAAGTTTGATATTTCTCTACCTAACGGTGAATAAATTAGTCTTACAATTTCCTTTTCAGAAGAAAGCCCCTTCAAAGTATTCATAGTTAGTTGGAATCAAGCGTGTATCAAGTACTACATTATTAAACGACAAAGAAAAGGATAGCAAAGAAAGTCATTGCCAGCATAGCTACATCCATACACGATGGAAACCTAGCTCGTTTCACATTATTTTGAACATATAAAATAATCCATTGTTCCTGTAACATGCCGAAGGAGAAATAGTTCCTTTTTGTGGACAAAGAACAAGTGTGACATACTTGAATATTCATTTCCAATTTAATCATTTGAACTCATGAATACGACTAGTCGACTACTAAAGATTTGTAACTTTTTCCTCCACTAGGAAAAATAATTGTTAGTGGTTTGGCTGTGGGACCAAAAATCAGAATGGCAGTTAGAAATCTGAACTAGTAAGAGGTCTGTCAAGTTGCTTCAGCTAGGGGAAGGCTGCGAGTGGGTGCTAAGAAAGAGAATGAGAGACCTCATTTGCGTGTACCTTATAAAGAAGTGCTCTTAAAGAAGCTTTCAGTTTCGGTGAGCTGTCAGTTAGTACTTTTCTAGCAATCCATGGGTATGTACTGCCCAGAACTTTGTATTCTGGGTTGATGCCAATAGCAATGCCTTCCAACACAGCAAGGCTAGATATCTCAAAATTACCAGTGAAAAACATCAGCCACCAAAAAAATAAACGAGATCAAGCAAATACAAAACAAACTAATCTCTAATTTTCCCGCAAAATTACCTTCGGATGACAAGAGAGAAATAAGAAGGTATTTGAAACTTAAATTTGTACCTGTAATCAAAGAGTTTTGCAAAACTTATCAGAAAAATACAAATCATAATCATAGCATGTAGTGTCGTCATAAGAAAAACCATATATCTGCTAAAGCATTATCTAGACAACAAAGACTCTCTAAACATAATCATCAGTGATTTCAATATGAATGCTAAGGTTCCCAGATTTTAACGTGCAACATGCACACAACTCCCCATGGTAATACTTTGGTTTCCAGAGATGATTGAAGGCTTTCACCCCTTCATCTCGTCACAGCAATGACCAAAACCTTTAGTACTACTGATGTGGAAACTTGATCAATAGTTTGAATTACTATTTCTATGCGCTCAAACTCTTTGCATACCCATACATCAAAATGAAGAAGATAATGAGACCAGAAAGATTCTAGATAAGCGTCAGACTGGGACAAAAATTAAATAAATCTGATTCTGCAATTGGAGGGATGATGCATGGCATAAGCGAAAGAAAGCAAAGCAACTCTTTTTAACTGCGGTATCCCAGCCTGCTTGTGTGCACTCAATTAATCCACCAATACCTGCTATGTCCCACCAGTTAAACTTTTCTCTCACAGTTTAGGCAAATGAGAAGAACTCACTAATTTTGTGTCTGCTGAATTTCCTAAGGTTGTCACTCCAACTTCTCAAACCGACAGCCCAACCCTTTTGGTGGCATTTTAAGAAAATATATTTTTTTCTTTGTCAAGTACTTTATTCATCACATTATAAACTACCTATCCAAGATATTACTTTTTCTCTGGATGATTACTGGAAGCGGTGGTCATAATTCATCTACCCGGAAGAGTGTCAGCATACGCTGTTAAAGCTTTGCATTCTTCAATAATCAAAAGAGCCATTAAGGTTAACTACGATGGTTTCTTATTGTGGATATGCATATTAGCATTTAGCAATGGAATAATAAAAAGTTTAAAACCAAAAATCTATTATGACATCATCACTTAACATAAATGAAACTTTTATGATACAGTGTTCAAACATTTAATGTAAGGAGTATAAGCATCAAATGGAATTCTAATTCTGTTTATCATTATTCACTAGTTCCTCCTCTTTCATTATGCATTCAGGCAAAGTCTATTCTCTCTTCAGATTTTGGTGGTACAAGCACAAGTATTAGTATCTCAGTAATCTATCAGATCATCCCAGATCAAGGTTGACCAATAAGGTAATGTTCGGTGAATTAAACTAGGATCAATGCCTTAAAAAGACACATCATTCAAATAAGTTTCTTCCTTCTTGTATTTTTATTTAGAGAAGCCCCCCGTCCTCTGAGCTTATCCTCATCATAAAATATACATCTTCTGTACCAACTTAAAAGATAGATATGATTTAAGCATAAGTGAAATACAACTAAATTACATCACATAATAGAAGGTAATGCAGAAAACAAAATACATTTCAATTTCTCTGGAGAGAAGAAATCATGAAAAGCGCTTACATGGTGAATCCCAGATCTCCGAGAAGATCCCCAAAACTCACATTGCGGACTCCTTTGGCTACAGCATCCCGAAAAACACCTAAAGGGGAAATTTATATCAGTAAAGAAGAATACAACAATTAGATCACTTTCTAGGTCTAGAATTTAACTGTATATAGCTAATAAATGTCAATATAAAGGATAAAACCTGTTAGAGCTTCTGTAACTGCAGCTTTGTCACTTGTGGGCGGAATAAGCCTGTCAATGATAATATATTGTATTAACACTAAATAATTCTAATATTAAGAAGTGACCTCTCATTGAGTAGTGAAGATATTAATAATACCCAAGAGTGACAAAATCCTTGGCCAATGCACTGTAATCACGATTCACTAGATGGAGACATGCTTCAATGAAACCATCACGATATTCTTGTTTGAATTCACCCATCATACCGAAATCTGGGATTAAGAGAAATTTTAGGTACAATGAATTGATGATAGGTAGCTATAAGGTACTCAACTGGGATAAAGTAATCAAATTTCCACGAGACTAACTGTTAAGAAAATGGACCTTGGGTCTAAGCTCAACCCAAAGCTAGATCAAGTGGTGAGAATTTATCAAGAACATATAAGGAGATTACAGCCAACACACTTAATCAATGTGAAATTCTAACCCTCCTCTCCCTCCGACCGGACATCTGGAGCGTTGAGTATTATAACTTGGGTAGCTCAACATTTGGATAACCCAACATCACCAATAGGGTTGGCTCTAATACTATGTTGAGAAAATAACCTTTAGCTTAACTTAAGCCCAAAAGCTAGCTCAAGTGATGAGGATTATCCAAAGACGATATAAGGAGACTAAATCCCGAACGCGTAACCGATGTGAGATTATAGCACTAACAAATAAAATTACAAGGAACATGAGGAACAACCAAGAGCAACCCAGAGAAGTTTGTTATTTAGCATCGCTAACAACCAGTTTCATGTATACACTTCATAAGATAATCAATAAACTACTTTTCAGGAAGATAGCTACCACGAGTTCCCAGCAACATTTTCATTTAGTGAGCTATTAAACAGTATCGAAAACCAGCATTAGAGGATAGCTAATGGTAATAAACAAAGTAGATGTTTTAACCATCTCCTTAAGAAAAAGGCAACCAATGCTAGTGTGAGAGAGAAAAAAGGAAAAATAGAAAAACAAAAGATTACCATCATATATTGGAAAAGTAGCAAGTACATAAGGTAACAAGCATATATTCAGAGAAGTAGCATGTAAAAAAAGATTACCAACATGATATATTTAGTAAATAGCCCACATTCTGCATGCATAAGACTAGAAACTAAAATCAATGAAGTACCTAAGTAGGCTAGCTTCCCATCATAAGTACGAAGAAGGTTTCCGGGATGTGGATCTGCATGATAGAATCCATACTCTAGAAGTTGATTGAATGAGCAATAAACCCCTACCTGTGAACATCAATTTCACTTTAAAGTATGGTTCAAGGTGGAAAAACACACAAACATTGAGGAAAATGAGTTTCACGACTTAACCTCAACCAAATAAAGATCCTTGACCCCAGCCAGCTTTTGCCCCTAGCCAAGAGAAAGGTGTATTAACATGAGCAAGATGTCTAAGCTTCATAACATTAGGAGACAATATACACCAGTTTATAAAATATTCCACCTCATTGGAACTAAAAAGAAAATTCTTGACACTCTCCACATTGCTGAGTTAATACATAAATCAGTGAACCCAATGAGAACACGTAACTTCTAGGATCTACTGTATTCAAATCTGAAATGTCTCAATATAACGAAACCAATAATGACAAAGAAGAAATTCTTCAAAGAAAAGACAAGATTCTCAAACGTTTGATCAACTCAACATTAGTGTAATCTAAACCTCTTTGGATGTAACTATTCAATCTTTCCCAGTTGCTTGTCTCCTCCTAGACAGTAGGTAATGTGCATCAATTAGTGAATATGTCAATCTAGAGAAACTCTCAATCAAGTAACCTTTTTCTATATACACAGGGAATGAATGTCAAGGACTGTCAGAAAGCCAACAGGAACCACAAAAAGACATGTTTTAATCAGAGGAGCAAGGATAAGAAAGAGAGCAAATGTTCTCAAATTCTTTGACCTTCAGTAAGAAAATCTCCAGATATCATTTTTGTTTTAATTCAGAATTTTAACTTATCCTGTCTTTGTTGACTTAGATATCTATGTGGAAGAAAGCTAGCTGAAAGATAATAGAGCGTCTAACATAACTTGTCACAAACTAACCCAAAAGCTAACAAAATGTAGGTATCACTTGACTGAAGCTTTTAGCTCCTGATATGGCGTTTTTACCTCTAGCCACTGCATAATGAGCACTTTCCGGGTTGTCAGTGCCAAATTCATTTCAGGAACCACAACATCCTGTATTGAACCATACAATTGCCTGCCCATGCAATTATGAAAAGTTTAGACCATATGCGAATATAATACTAAGATTTTCCCCTATTATCTTAGTACATGCATGAATGTGCAATCACAAATTAAAGAGTAGCATACAGTCTAATACTTATGATGTTAGATGAAGCATGCACAATCAGCTTAGCTGGAAATTGCGAAATTTTTGTAATTGCTGGAAAGATGAAAATGCTACAAACTATGATAATCAACTAAAATAACATTGTGCATGGAAACTTTCTATTGGCACAGGCTTTTGATAGTTGTTGAGCAGCTTACCATATTGCTATATCCAATAAGTGGACATTCATGATGAATCTGATACTAAATAATTGTGCAGGTCACATCAGATTGAGATCACATTCCTTTATATGTTCATTTCATTATATTTGTCATGCTTTCAAATACTTTACTGGATTTTCCTTTTCTCTCATTTTTATAACACATTGGTTCACCCTTTTGACAGCTTATTATTACATCCCAAAGTAGCGTACACTTGCATTTGCAAGAAGAAGGAATGCATTTACTCTTGGTCTCGATGCATGCATCAGAAAACCAAACAAAGGAAAATCAGTAAGCAAGCTTTGTCGATGGAGTTTCTTAAGTTCCTCTCTATCTCTCTCCATTCTCCAAAAGTTTCCCAGTTTGGTATTGTTTATTGGCTCATTAAAGAACACAGGAAGAAATACTTCTATCCCTACGTGCTGCTTAATTACCTCATTAACCAAAAAAAACTTTTTTATTTTGGCTTTTTCCCATCAACTTGAAGAAGGGTAAGGGTCAAAACGCTAATCCATAATAATGAATAAGATGCATAAACAAAATGTCTATTACATCTTACTGTTGTAAGAAAGGTTTCTAGGTCTTTTACATTAATTTAAGAGAAGGCTTCAAATTGAAAATTATTAGACTAGTATTCCAACAGAAGGATCATTGACTACAAAGCTTTGACAAGAACGTATGAGATCAACAGAAGTAACTGCAATAGGTAATCCAGTACAGAATGCTACAAATTAGCCCCAGTTTCATAAGAAAGAAAAAAAGATTTGACACATTTAGGATATTTAACTCATGATAAAAACTAATTGAGTTTCATAAAGTTCAAAACCCCACTGGAAAATTCTGTAAAAGACCTTGGAGGCGAATCAATTATCTTGTTGTTAACCACAAAAATAGTGGGATTAATCTCTGATCAGTAAGGTTCTTAAAGGTGCAAACTCACTCATCACGTTCTAAGTGAGATTGGATTAAAGGTATGCAGGTTTCAGATATCTTATATAGGACGCAGTCAGACAGGTCAATTATTTTTACCGAAATTTGACTCCATTCCGTGCTTCTTGTTTGTAGTCCATCTCCTGCATTTAATTTGACCACCTGTATTCAATATAAAGCACTAAGAATATTCCTCCTTATTATTAGAAGTAGTTATTGCTAATTTTGATTTTTATATATCTATATATGATATATGAGGATGTTCAGTTAAAATGAAAGATCAAGACAAAAAGAAAGGGTCAAACTACCAGACTAGTACTAGTCAAAGATTTTATGGTTTACCATAGGGGTATCTGAAATGTTCATGTAGAAAAGGTAGTTGAATGTTGACATGTTATTCTTTGATACTATCATATGTTTCCTCTTGATTAAACGAATATCAATACAGAAATCCTAATTTTCTCCCTATAAATTTCCATTCATCTTTCAAAAGAAATATAGTTTCCTGTAATAGATCTACTATGTATAGACCGAAACTGTTCGTTTTCAAAATGTTCTGAAGCTTATGCTCTGTCAGTCTTTCCCAAACCACAATAATTTGTACAACTTAATTATGGAATACTAAAGGAAAAATTAATTCCTCTTGCATGACAGAATATGAACCTAAAAAAGAATAAAGTATTGATCAGTTGATCAAATTTTAAGTCTAGGACTTATAAAGTAACACTAATGTTGAAACTCACAGATAGGAACTGAAGTAGAAGACATCAAATTAAAGAATTGACAACAACCAACAATCAATCCACTATGCCTTAATCCAAAGATAAAACTAGATCAGTTAGTAGATAACAGAAGCAATTTCATTCACACCAAAGGGTTTCTTCCAACGGGGTTTTTTACAACTTTGATGTCAATTATCAACTAGTAGGACAGGAAGTATGTGGACAGCCACAAACATATGAGAGTTTACTAGGAAGAGTAAGATATAAAAGCATACCCGAAAAAGACTTGAGGCCCACTCATCAACAACTGCCTGTATATTGAGAAAAAATGTGTTCAGGACTAGTAATTGCAAAGAATACGTCTTGTCATGTTGGAAATAGATGCTTGTGGACACTAAATTTCAGATCAGCCTAAATCATTTAGTGTTCCATAATCCCATCTCACTTTTCCTCTCTCAGCTAGGAATTTACTTGTATCATAGTACCTGAAGGTCGGTATTAAGTTTTCCTGCCTTCTTTATTAAGCCTGAGAGATAACGTAAAATCAATATGTCCAAGGAGATTGCACTTTGAACTCCAGGTCTTTGCACCTTTACAGCAACAACTTCCCCGGTAGAACGAAGCCTAGCTTGATAGACCTTAAAAATAGAATTCACATTTAGTTTCTTTCACCTTTGGCTTATACTAAGAGTGAATACGAGTCCACCTAATTTTAAACTAAGAAAAAGAAGTCCGCTGCTTCACAGACCTGTCCAAGTGATGCTGCTGCAACAGGCTCAGGTGAGATCTCAGAGAACATCACATCTATTGGCATGCCAAGCTCCTTCTCTATAATTCCAAAAGCTACTTCAGAGGAAAAAGGTGTTATCCGATCTTGCAACAGAGATAGCTCATCCAAGTACGATGGTGGTATCAAATCCTAGAAGAAAATTTTTTAGTCTGATTAACATCACTAGATTTAGTGAAATATGGGATGCTAACATGACTCAATGAGTGTGCATTTCAAACAATTAATCCTTGCATAGACTACTTGCAGTTATTGTCCCACTATTTCACAAGAAGTATGAATTAGTTGCATAAAATGAACCAGTTCATGCGAATGAGAATTTTGGATACATACTCAGAATTCTAGTTCATGAAATTTCAAGGATGTAATAGTTGCAAAGCCTGGAGAAATGACAATTTTGGAACCCCTTTAATTTTCGAGCAGTTCCAATTAGCAGACACATTAATTGTAAACAATGCTCTTTATTTTTTCTCTCTCTTTACAGGTTCTAAAAGATGTTTCCAAGATGGTTTTACTTTCAGAAACCAACACACACATATCCAGTCAAAAAGGAACTAAATACAAAATAAATCTATGATCCAGCATGTTACCTGCAATAATGCTAAAAACTTCTCATTTTCAAACTTGTTGATCAATATTCACTAAAGGAAAAATAAAGGGGAGCTTATGCCAATTTCGTAAAGAGAACTCAGACAGAGAAAAACAAATATAAAGCATGACGAGCAGAAGCTCCCTATTGTGTCCTACATGATTCAATACCGGAGACCTCTACAAGATAAACAAATCCGATGAAAACAGAATTCCCTCAGGTTTCATAGAAATTCACTGGGTGTTGGGTGGAAGTGAATCCACAAAATTGAATAGCTGAAAGAAGCTCTACTTACTGGTCGAGATGAGATAGCCTGTGCAATTTTAACATATGCCTGCAAAAGAATATTTAGAATTCATCACCATGGCAAAGGGATAATATTGTACAAGTATTCAGCAAAGATTGCACAAGAAATTTATTAAAAAGAACACAGTTATAAAAAAACTGTAGAAAAAAAAAGAGGAACTAGACGAAGAATTGCAGGAAAAGAAACTTGTAGTATATAAAATATCATAAGATATCGCAGAGAGAGTAGGAACTCTCTCAAGCACATCCATCTTTCAGAAATCAAGGCTCCAGATTAGGTCTATCGAATACCTTAGCCATTAAATGTTTCAACGTGAAGGCTTGAACTTTGTGCAGAGCTTGTAGGCAGGTAGGGATTGACATCACGCAAGCCTAAGTATGGAAGGACAATATGTCTGGTAACCAAACATGATATTATATGGCAGTGCCACCGAAGAGACAGCATGTGGTACTGAGATGATTCATATTGCTAAGTTCAGTTGCACCATGCTACAAGTTCCTCTTGATGCCTTTGATCCTTTCTTAAAAGTTACTTTTGTATGGAGTCAGCTACCCAAGAAGCTTATTGTGCAATGTAGAACTAGGAGTTTAATATCAGCTATTGCTACTTGGGTTAGTTTAAAAGATTCTTTAAGTAGCATATGTTCAAAGGACCTTAAGTTCATATGCATAGTCTAGTTGTTAGCATAGGTCGGTTCCTATTGGAAAGGAGGACATGGTCTAGCCCATGGACTGGGCATGGTCCACGGGAATAATGTTTTAGATGATTATTTGTTGGAATCACTAGCTTGTAGTGCCCCAAAGTTTGATGCCTGGTGTCGGTTTGAATTTGACTAGTTTGTTAGAAATAAGGTCATTGCACTACTATCCACGACAAAACTTAAAACTTGTCATATTGAGCATACTATTCCTAGGAATTGTGCTGAAATTTAGCTGACAATTCAGACTTGAACAAATAAAAATATGCCCAGTGAAATGCTTCTAGTTCTAGTAGCAGAAAATGTTGAAAACTAATAAAGAATAAAGGAGAAAAAAAGAAAGGTTTGAGGCATATAAAATACTTGTCAAGAGAGTGAATGTGATTGCCTAACTATGGGAATAGATAAAAATGTTGTTCCTGGGATGTAACAAACCTGTTATTAGTCATCTGTATCGACTAATCTGCAAGTGGAAGAGCGTTCTTTTGCAGGGCATTAACATATAAAATATAGTTTCAAATCTTGTAAACTTTCAGAACCAGTTGTCCTTTTGCCAATTAACTGTTAAAAAATCACAAAAATAAAAAATTTAATGTAAGGAGTCTTCATATTTTTCAAGTACTGCACTTGAATCCCTAAGTCCAAGCCCAAGTCTATCTGTGAGACACACACTAATTTCCAATTATAGTATGTGATGGGAAGTACTTTAGTAGGAAATATATGGAAAAACACTTAGATGCATCTTTTCTCTTGCATTTTCATGGGATTTCCGAAGTCCAGTAAACTCATAAATTCGTAAGTCAGTCTCTTTACTCAACTGTCTGGGCTTCTTACTAGTAACAGTGAGCTACCTAATTATTGCCACTTCCATATTAAAACTATACTAAAATAGAGAGTTGTTTCAGTAAAAATTGCAAGTCCAATTAATAAGACATACTGGACCAAGCTGTAATAGTATCTTCCTCAATTCTGCGGCTCTAATCTGCAAGCAGCCAAAACAACACTAAATTAGTTCAAGTGCACATAACGAGGATGCATTATTGCAAAAAATGTATCGAAAAATACTAACTTTGAACATCTCATCGGCGCGTTCATTAACAGTATCCAGGTACCTGACGGCGAACCACTTGCCCAGAGTAGAACCGATTTGGACAAGCCTACGAAGTACAATCAACGGTTTCTTCTGATAAAACGCAGCAATTTTCACGATGTTGTACTCCGTAAGAGAATCATCCTCCGACGGATTCAGCTCAAAAACATAGCCGGAGTACTTCGTGAAATCATCTACCTCACGTGCAACTGCCGCAACTGGCGGTGCTAAGCGACTGGAGCTGGAATTAACCTTGCTCCTCCGGAATACACAGCGGAAGGAGCCGTCGGAGAGTGAATTGGCGGCGAATAACGGCAGCGGTTGAGGCGGGACGACCAGCATTTTGTGGCGGAGGGATTGTATTTTGCGTGCGCCTGTTAGGACCGTTATGTATGGCTGGAAGTTGTACTCGTTAGCAATAAACAACTAATAATATCTCAAATATTTTCAAAAACTTATTTGCGTATATTTGAATGGTAAAATTGTTATCATGATCAATCAGTTTAAAACTATATAATATATTCTTGTGGTTCAATAGGACCGTCTCAACAAATTTGAGGCTTAAAATCAAACTTCAAGATCTTAAACTATATAATATATTTTTGTGGTTCAATAGGACCGTCTCAACAAATTTGAGGCTTAAAATCAAACTTCAAGATCTTATTTTTTTAGTTGTCATATAAAAATTGAATAACTATAACATAAAGTGAAGTCTCGAGAAGGTAGGATTTACGCAGACCTTATCAAATAAGAATGTAAACAACAAATTTTTTAATGAAAATAATATAATATAAAGTTAGAATAATAAAACCTGACTCAAAAATTTAAAAAGCTTATATGATGATATTGAAATAGTTTCGCCGAATTTAATAAGTTGACATAATGATATTAAAATAGTATTGATTTGTTGCGGCCTTGTGGTGCTTGAAATTTAAAGACCACCAAAAAAACAAATTTGATATTTTTATAAACACAACAACAAAAGATTTTACCTAATGCAAAAGGTTTTATCGTTTGGTAACTTTAAAATATTCAATAATCAGAGAATAAAGAAAAGGTAAATGTAAGGACTAATAATGTGGGTTCATGATAATCGCAAAGATATAAATAAGTAAACACATAAATAGCCACATAAGAAAGCATGATACAATTAACTAAACACTATTTCATTTCTCAATTATTACAATCACCTCCGATCGATCCACATTAAATAAAGTAAACACTTACTCTCTATATACATATATCTTTAGGAAAATTAGTGGCCCTAAACAATTAAGTGCCCCAAACAATATTGCTTTAGTGACCTTATGATCGAGACGACCTGAACTTCAACTCTTTTTCGAAGCTTTACTGCATGGACCACTTTTTTATAAAATGTTTATCTTAAATTTTGATATTAATGTTTTTTTTCTTTTTTATGGTTTTGGTTTTTATAATGTTTTGAGATTTGATTATAGGAAAAATCCAAACAAGATATTGGGAAAGCAGAGGGGAAGAGAAGGACGGGATTGAATTCGTGGCGTTGTGGAACTCAGTGGATGCGTGTAGAAATAGGAACTGTTTGGCACTACACAATAGTATAGGAGTATTACTTTTCCAAGTTTCGAAAAAAAGTTGTATATAGACAATTAATTCAGTTTGATCTCTCTAAAAAAATAAAAAAAATCAGCTACCCTCATTTTCCTTTAAATTTCAATTAAGCTTTGTAGATATTATTTGACACGAATTTAGCAAACCACAATTATTATTTTTTAGAGAAAAAGAGAAAAGCAAGGGTTCGGAATTGAATTTTAAAAGATAATGAAGTGTAAAATTTTAGGAAGGAGAAGATTGCACACTTTAAAGCCCCAATTTGTTATTTGTTTTTTTAAAGATGTTGGGGGATTTTTGAAATAGAAAAATCATAACAATAGATGCGAATTCAGAATTTGAAGATAATGGAGACACCACTAAACGTGGATGCATGTTAGTCGAAGTATCAACACTTCACTAGAAAATATTGTGAAACAAGTATAAAATCGATGTATCGATAAACATAAATTAAACGAAAGTGTAACAAAGTTCAACGTGTGGTAAAAAGTTGTCAAACAATTATAAAATAAAATGTATCAATAAATATAAATTAAAAAATATGTAACATAGTTCAATGTGTGATTTGATGGTTTTGACCTTATAAACTTTAAGGTTGCTAGTTCAAATCTAGCTTGAATTTTTATTTACATGCATTATTTTTTATTTTATTTTAAATGACAACAAAAAAATACATATAATCGCACCCTAAAAAAATGACAACAACACCATACTAACCATAATCTAATCGTGGGACACCTTGCTAGCGAAGATGCAAAAAGTCAAGCATTCGACTAGTGCACCACATCAACTTTTGTGATTAAGGGTGCACAAGTAAATATATTATTTGTATTTAGGAATATACATATATATACTATACATGTAATTTTCGAAGTTAATAGGTGCACGTACCCCTCCCCCTTCATCTAAAGTGGGTCCGCCGCTGGTTAAGAGTATATATTAGAAGTCATAAATGAACTCTTTAATCATCATCATCACATATATATATATATATATATATATATATATATATATATATATATATTACTAAAAGTGGAAACAAAAAAAGTTAAAAATTGAAATACCATTTTACCCCTCCACTAAATCAAAATAAAATTAATTAATTTATTAAAAAATAATATTTTAATTAATTACCAACAGCTACACTTTAATTTTTTGGTCATGATGACATTATAATAATAATTGATTAGTTTAAATTCAATTAGAGTAGAAGACAAAATAATGTATGAAACTCTTTCAATTCGGTGACTCTTCGAATTTTGAAACCAAGAAAAAATTTATGTATCATGATTCAATGTGCTCCATTAATAAATTTTGGTAGGTAAAAAAAAAGTCAAATATCACTATAAATACCAGTAAATTGCTCCCTAGATCATCATATTCTTTTCTTTTCTATCATCTACTATTCTCTTTTCTTCTTCCTAGATATTAATATAGATACATGTCGTCAAGAATCTAATTGAGGAGAAGAACATATAGCTTCATTCTGAAATTAAAAAGAGAAGCTTTCTTACAATATAGTTCAAGTGTTAAGCTTAGAAGTATAATATATGACCTATATTTTCTTTTAGATTTTTTTTTTATGTTAGCTTATGATTTTAAGTTTTTCTTTTCCATTTTGGAGTTAAGGTATGGTTGTCCAAAATAAATTTGGTACGCAACCCGTATTTTTATGTAATTCTGTATCATTTTGCATTGTTATGAAAAAAATTTCTTTGTTTTTGCGTTATTATTCTTTTTAAGTGTTACTTAATTGACAAAACATCTATTAATACATGATGAGTTTGATAATACTTAATAGTTATGCAATATGTTTTTGTTTAAATACAAGTAATTTAAATAAAGATTGAGTTACTTTATCGTCTATCTAACATAGTGTTGCGAACATATACATATATTGTTCATTTTCACCCCTTTTGTTTCATTTTTTTTTTCTTCTACAATTTATACAATACGAGATTTGACAATTTCATTTTCAAATAAAAATGAGAAGACATTTACATTTATGCGACACTAAGCCTAATGATTTTCTTAAACATAAGCATTCTATATTAACGGTAGCTTTTTGTAGTGTTAAAATTCAAATGGTTGGTATAATGACAATTTTGCTTTTGGACATTTTGGTTGTTTCTTTATGAATTCCTTCGACCCTTCATTGTTACTACTAAAAACTATTCCTCAAATTAAAATCATGTAAATTAAAAATATTATGAGAATGGAGTTATTAAGTTTCATTTTGTTTAGATTTTAGTAATATAAGTCAACAAGATCATTCTATTAAAAGTGGAAAGAGTCTAAGTCAAAAATTAAAATTTTAAAGTGTCTTTTAAAAGTATATTTATCATTTTATTTTTTATTAAAATAATTGTCTATTAGATTTAATTGGAAAGACCTTTCATCTACCTTTAGACATGTACAAATTCGACATGAACTTTTTATTTACAAGTTTAATATATGTCATGCATTTATTTTCTTCACTTTTAGCTTCCAACCGTTAAAACATATCTCTCTCTCTCTCTCTCTCACACACACACACACACACACACACACACACACACACACATATATATATATATAGTTACACATTATAATTCTTCTTTTATAGGTTTTAATCAAATTTACAAAAAAAAATAATTAAAAATACACATGACACTAAAAACATAATTACACCAAAGGTATTTTTAGTTGGTTGGAAGGTAATATAAACATATGTTTCTATTTCTCTACTCCTTTCTACTTGAGTGTTGGTATTTAAAAATGTTATTTTTGCCAAATCAATAGGTAAAGAAGAGATTGTACATTATACCAAAAGAAACAAGGTCCAGTAACTTTGCTAATTAAAGGCGAAATTAGAAATCAAAGTAAGAAAACCAAAGATTTCTTCCTTTTAGAGAGTTCACCAAATAGGATTAAAATATCACTTTAAGAATTTGCACTTCTTCTTTAGTATATAATTTATAACTCAAACATGTTTCTTAATACTAATATTTATGTAATTTTTTAAAATTTTGCAGTCAATAAAATTGGGTTACACGCGCAAGGCGCGTGCCCCAAACCTAGTAATTATTAAATAAGAGTTTAACTACAAGTTCTAACATATTATGATTATTTTATATTAAATTAAATTATTAATTTTTATAGTAATTACTATATTTAGAAGCAAAAATAGGAGTTTTTTTTAATAACTGATAATTAATGTAACTATGTAACTCTACATTTTAGGAATCTGAGGATACATATCTTCCAAATATATTCATAAAGGAAAAGAATCCTCCAAATCTTCTCCACATTCTTTTCTAGAAGATCTAATCCGCATGTGCATCACTCTAATTTTTTACTTTTCATTTTTATTTTCAATTGAGAAATTTTAATCTTGTTTTTCAATCATGTTCATATTGATATTGTTTTTTTTTTTTAATAATATAATGATTAAATAATTTTTTTACGGATTAGAATATAGGAAAAATTAAAAAGTTTCGAATCATTAGGAAACTAACTTTTTCCTTTCCCTTTTGATTGGAAAACAATTATTATAATAATTCATCATTTTTATAAGATGGGCTTATCATAATTTTATAATATTGGAAAAATCACCCACATATATATTTAAGGGGCAATATTATGGGTTTTAAATCTACTTTTAAAATATTATTACTTATAACATTTTAATTGCGGGTTATAACAAATCACTTTTTATTTATAAATCAATTTAATTCTACTTTATTAAATAATTAAAATTTTATAATTATATTTTTATTATTAGGTGATAAAAATAAGGAATCAATCATAATTATCTCTTACCCATTTTT